GTCAAATTCATTTTCAATGATCAACGCAGTTGGAAAAGTATTTTAATGTAACTATGATTTACATATCACACACTGTACGTTACATTAGCTTGTATGTTGTTGCGCTTACGTTGCCATCTTTTGACGAAATAGGGAAATAGATTTGAACGCAGGAGTTTCGTAAAGAGCGCGAACGGTAGTGTGATGTAAAATCACTCATGCTAGAAATTTTCATAAAAGCGACCCGAAAAATGGCGCTAACTCGGTAACCCATGGCCCGATTTTAACGAAACTTGTTTTAATCGGTTTCTATTCTCATTTCTCATATTCTATTTATACTTATATTCTCATTTTGTGCGCCGTTTTTGCTGTATGTAATTACAGACAAGCACACAAACAAACAAACAATCTCAGAGTTTTTAGTAGTATATAAAATTAGTGTCTATAAAAACAAAGAGCCGTCTGTTTGTCACGCCGATATTTCGGCTGTTGCGGTACCGATGGACTTGCACGAAACAACGGCGCTTCCTGGCGCAAGTTTGTCGTTTTATAATTATTCCACCTATATATATATATATATATATTTATATTGAAAAGGAACGATTTGTCGAGAACTTAAAGAGTAATAAAATCGAATCGGATAAGCGCGCCCCACGCTTGGTATTATAATTTTGAGAAGAAAAATTAATCATTATTTCCAGTCATATGACGGTCATTCATCTTGTTACTAATATTAATTTGTGTCTATTTAAATATATCGCCATAGAATGGTATAATAATGAAAAAATAAACACAGTTAACTTGTTTTAGGACACACTGTGACTTGTTACTTTTTTATTTTATTTGACGTTTGTTGCTTACGTCACAAACAGTATTCTACAAACACCATCAGCATGTGTTGTAACACATCAGTGATACTAGAATAAATGATAAAATAAAGCTAGGTAGTGTTTGAAATAACTTTTCATTTGGTTTTTCAAAATGTGTAGTACACACTGAAGGGATTTAGACACTTTGACAATAAATTCAGGGAAAGACTACCTTTACTCTCCAGATAATGATAAACAAATTATTATTTTAGCCAAAATTTCGCCATTGCGGCTTCATCAGGGCTAGCTTGTACCCATCTTTCATCAATGCTCTATATAGCTTCATAAAAATATCTTGACGTAGGGTGACACATTCCTAAAATTCGGATTAACAAAACTCTTTAATAAACACAGGCCTGCGATGGTTTTATTGTATTGAAATTTTTACATGTTCTACAATAATTCCTGTTCGCTGAATCCGAAAGTGATATCCATTTTTCTCCATCACGTACAGATTTTTCACAAAACATCATAACGCAACAAATAAAAGAAAGATCACAACAGGTAGTTTTGAGACTAAAAGACGTAGATTTCACAAAAATAAAATCAGGATGAATAAGGATGCATATTCGTTTGACATCAGTGTTCTTCCCTTTTCTTCAGTTTGTTTGTATTTTTTGTTTACAAATACAATAATAAAAAATGTTCATTGTGGTAAAAGAAATAATAATTTGATCTAAGTAAGAGTTCTTTTCTTCTTCCCGATAGGTAAAAAATCATTACATGATAGAAAAAAAAATGAATATTATTTTCGAAATCTGCGTAGCTGAATTGTGGAAAATCCGTTATCAAAACCAAAACAACTTTTATGAAGTTTAAATTCACAGGCCTGTGTAATTGTACTTGTCATAAGACATTAGTATTAAGGCCTATTACATTTTTTGAAACGCTTCATTCTTTATCTAGTCTGGGCCAGCTTGTAAAAGACGTACACAATATAACTGCCACTATATAAAATGGCTTTTATAGATAGTGTTTCGATCACTTTTATGCTTGTTGTATCCAACTGGTATGAAGAGCTATGGATTGAACAAAACGCGTCGTCGGCAATAGCAATGAAAAATATAGTGTGGTTGGTTATTATACACTATTCTAATTCTTGAAAATCTCTAAGGGACTAGATAAAAAATGTATTACTTAAAAATGTAACAGGCCTTATACTAATTACTTATGACAAATATAATTGTAATCATTCTTCGCCAGCTTGTAAAAGGTATTAACACCATAATAATTGTTGCTACTTGTTATTGAATAGATATTCTAGTTATATTCTTATTCATTCCTTAATGATTTGCAAATTTTGTAAAATATACATGTTTTAACGATCAAAAATTAATATGTAAAGTCCAGACGCCAAAGGGAGTTCGCTGAATATTAATTTGTTGTTTTTGAATTTCGCGCAAAGCTACACGAGGGCTATTTGCGCTAGCCGTCCCTATTCAGCAGTGTAAGACTAGAGGGAAGGCAGCTAGTCATCACCACCAACCGCCAACTCTTGGGCTACTCTTTTACCAACGAATAATGAGATTGACCGCACATTATAACGCCCCACTGCTGAAAGGACGAGCATGTTCGATGTGATGGGGATTCGAACCCTCGACCCGCAGATTGTAAGTCAAGCGCCCTAACACCTGGCCGTACCGGGCCCTGAATATTAAAATTGAGGCTTGCGGAAATTTCTTCGCAGTTCGTTCTTCATGTAATGTTGATAATGTGAGACAAATTCGCTGCACCAGGGTTCTCAAGTTGCTTAATGTATCAGAATGATTTATATTAAAAGAAGTTTTTAATCCAACGATCAAACTCTGAACTAAATGCTGTTTGTCTTCTTTTGACGTATGATGGTGTAGGTGATAACCGTAAAATCCATAATAAAGAATACAAACGAAACTAACTTAAAGACTGCCAAAATTATATAAGGCTTTATAAAGAGATGAATTCACCTTGAGAACGTTAGATTACTTTATCATGTTTAAAAAAATATTAGGCTTAGTACATATTAAGCCTAATTTGCAAATACTTGAGACCTTTGTAAAATAAAGTGGGATGCAAAATAGTGGACAAGGAGGCCAAAGAGTGTTTCGACACTTTCACATCAATACTTAGATACTATTATATACGTCACTCTGTGACTTACTAATACACTGCATTATAGCATGCAAGAAAATTTTGTTTCAGTAAACAGCTTTGGCGGTATTGTACGAGCTGTGAGAATAAAGAAGAGAAAAACAGAACTTACCTGACTAATATTGTGGCCAGTGTCCACAAGCACATCGATGAGGTCCATAGACTTGGCGAAGGCATCCCTCAGGTTCACGTGGTGGAAGGACACTATACTGCCCTCTCGCTTGGCCCTCTCCAGCGCCTCATTTCGCTTGAGTGCTTTTTCTCTCCGCATCTGGTTCTTGTAGAATTCGGCAAAATTGTTAACGATAATGGGAATGGGCAATGCAATGACAAGCACCCCGCAGATGCAGCAGACACTCCCTATCATCTTCCCGAAAGGTGTGGTCGGGTAGATATCACCGTACCCGACGGTTGTCATGGTGATACTTGCCCACCAAAACGTCTCTGGAATGCTGATGTATTTAGTGTCTGGTTCATCCTTTTCAGCAAAGTATGCTAAACTTGAGAATATCATGATCCCTATAGCCAAAAACAACATAAGCAACCCGAGTTCCTTGTAACTATTTCTGAGCGTGAACCCAAGACTCTGTAACCCAGTGCTGTGACGAGCTAGTTTTAAGATTCGCAGAATCCTCATGATTCGGAAGATTTGTACAATACGTCTGACGTCCTGAAATTGGTCCGTGTGCTTGTTGGATTCAATGAGAAACAGAGAGACGAAGTACGGCAGAATAGCTAGCAAATCTATAATGTTCAATCCGCCTTTAAAGAACTTCCACTTATTTGGCGCCGAGAGAAACCGCAAGACGTACTCCAGAGTAAACCACGTGATGCAAACAGCTTCCACCATGGCCAGCTTAGGATTATCTCCACCTTGCTGGCCATCCTTCTCCTCCACCTGCATTTGGGGTAACGTGTTGAGTGTCAGAGCGATTGTTGACAGAACTATAAACAGAACAGAGATCACACCGACGACCTAGAAGACAAGCAGGCACCATTTCAGTCAACCCTTTTAAACATAAATGACAAATGATCAAGGAACGACAAGGACATCCAACATAATGTCTAATGCTTTTTACAGAAACAAATATATCGAATTCATTGAAACCAGCTAGCGACAGCGTCTCAAAAATTGTTCAACTTAGTTTATGAAATATTCAATTAAAATAATTGCTGTAATAATATAATTTAAAAGCTAAGTTATTGCAAAATAAAAAAATAAAAACTACATAGCCTAGTTTGAAAGTTCAAGTACTTTCGAAAATTGGTCTCTTGTTTATATCCAGCGCTAGAGTTTTTAGTTTTTTTTTCTAGTAAAGCTGCTTTACCCGAAAAATTAGGAAACTATAGTTACTTATTAGCTACGTTAGGTTATGTATAATTTACATATGTATAAAACAATCTTGGCTATTATTATCTACGTTATCTCTTAGCTCTATAACTTAAAGAACATTTCATTGAAAAGTCAGTTTAAGATAAACAAATTTATTTCAAATATAAGAGGACTACGGAGTAATATTATGTAAGAGCAAACGAAGGCTACTTCAAATGTTTTAATATTTTTCTATCGTAAGCAACACACATCATGATACAGAAAAAACATATAACGAATACATATTACATCATATTATATACCTAGATGTATGTGTTCGTAATTACGAGCAGAAAACTAACGTAAAACACTCATCAGAATTAATTTGCAGTTCACATATCGAGCACGGAAGCTAATTGGTGAAGTAAGTGAACTGAGCGAATATCAACGGCTGGTATATAGCATTGCGGTAGGTGTCGCCACATATTTTAAATGTAGCAGCTTTGTTTATTAAGCGCAAAACTACACAATTAGCCATCTTTGACCTGCTCACCACGGGCATTAAACCCCGAATTTTTAGACGTTATAAGCCTTCAGACTTGGCGCTGAGCCGTGATAGGTTACAGACAGCTTTCTTTCTATATATCTAGCTAAAAATAAATGTAAAGTCTTATTAATTCGATACGTTTTGAAACATCGCATGCGAATAACTCTAATAATATATGCATCATAAGAAATTTATCACATTATTTAACTAAATATACCCCCCTCTATATTTTCAATATACAATCTTATAGCACAAGTTGTTTTGCTTTATGGGTGCTTCAAGAGCTTTCTGCTCTATTAGCACATTGGATTTTACATAGATTTTTGTAGTGCAGAAAGCTCCTGACGAAGCCTTAAGGAAAATATCACGCAATAAAAAAGTTGTACACGCAGAAATACAGGGTGTTTATTTACTATTTTATACGATATTTTTGTTTGTTTAAAACAAAGCCACACCGGCTATCTGCTGTGTCTACCGCGGGGAGTCGAGCCCCGGATTTTAGCGTTTTAAGACAGTAGACTTACCGTTGTAACACCGAGGGACTCGATATATGTAAAACCTTCCAATTGGGTTTCCATTATATTATAAATAAAACGTTATTATTGTGAAATGTTAAACATTAAAGAGGCCAACATTCGCGGACGAATGCAACATGTCTCCGTCACGCAATCCCAACATGGCCAGTTTTGATACCAGATAAATCGTGAAAAACATTGAAAATTCGACAACTGTCTATATCACTGCTTGGGACCTGCAAGAAGGTTTCTTTGTAACAAATCCTGTGTAAGTTGATTGATATACACATGAATAGTTCACTAAAACCTCAAACTGCGCTTTTCTCGCTGATAAACTGAGCAGAAGGCAAAAGTTCCTACTGTCTATATCATTGTTTGGGTCCTGCAAAGAGGATCTTTGTACTAAATCCTACGTAAATTGGTCGAAATATGTCTAAGAAATGTACCAAAACTCTTACAATGATGAGTTTATTTAACCTTTTGACCCCCCCCCCCCAAATGACCACAAACGACCATATCCCACATTTTTCTATGTATATGTATGGAACTAATAAAAAGTACTTTTGTACTAAATCCCATGCACATTGGCCAAAATACGCCTGAGTAACTGATCAAAAATCCCAAAATTATGCTTTTTGTGAACTCTGACTCACCTAAAATGACTCAAAATAGCAAATCCAACTTTTTTCAATGTGTTGGGCGCGTGAAAATTTATATTTGTGCCAAATTTCATCTTGATTGCTGTAGATATGACTGCAAGGAGCCAAAAATATACATTTCTGGGCTGTATGACCTTTGACCCCATAAAATCTTTAAAGAGGCCTAAATATAAAAAAAAGAAAAACATTTGTGGGCATATTGGACCAAAATATAACCCTACCAAGTTTCAAATCAATCCGCCGAGAAATGAAGGAATGACGGTCGATTGAAAGCTGTTTGGAAGAAGAAGAAATAAAGAAAGAAGAAGAAGCAATAGAAAAACAGTATATCTCTCTACGGAGATATGATAAAAATGTTATTGTTGCAAAATATTAAAAATAAACTGTCTTTGCTTGTATTACCCATACTTAAAAATTTCAAGGGAGGATCTTTTTATATTCTATTACTATGCTTTGTTTCTTCGACAAACTGCCCAGGTTTACTTTTATCACGTCTGTTTTGCTAACTATGTAAAATTAAAAACCCTATAGACAACTCGATGATCGTGATTTTAATTTTCTTTTCTTCACTTCTTAAATAATGTCAAACTGCGAGACATATTTATAATATACATCACGTCTGTAATATTATAAATATTAGGTCGTCATGAAATTAATGTCGCTTTTTATTAGATGAGAAAACCCGAACAACTTATATATCAAAACAAAACTTATATTAAATGAAACAGTCTCCATTTTTATCGACGATGCTTTTCCATCTTACAATCAGGTTGTTAATGTCCTGATTAAATAAATCACGTTCTACAATTGCATACGTTTTCCCATTAAGATGGTGTTGCAGCGAACAAAAATGATGGTAATCTGACGGTGCCATATCTGGAGAATATGGTGGGTGGGGAAGAACTTCCTAAACCAACTCCATAATCTTGTGTTATGTCAAAGGTGCCAC